TTGTCATTCTCATAAACTGTATGCATTCATTTATTGATCTGTTGAATAAAACCATCTCTGACGAGCTAGATTATACAGCATTTTATTGCATTCTTTGTTGCATCAAAATGTCTTTACAGTATAAGGCACTTTGGCATTGGTATGCTTCAGGAAGGAACCTGACAATGTGGGACAAAGCTTTGATCAGAAGCATAAATATATGCTAGAAGCGCATGTCACTAACTGTGTCTCCTCTCTCCTCTAGTGTCTTCTCTCTCTCTCTCTCTCCCTGTACCTTTCTGCAGGTAGTCCTGCCTCTGGAGCTCTTGTGTTTCTGATGAGCAGTGTCCAGCCACATCAACCTGACCAGTGTTTGATTATGTCCTGTTGCTTTTCTTCTTTTCTCTCTCCTCTATCCACTCACCCCACCCAGTCGAAGCAGAAGGCTGCCCACCGAGAGCCGGGGTCTGTCGGAGGTTTCTTCCGTTAGAGGGAGTTTTTCCTCCCCACTGTCACCAAGTGCTGCTCAAGGGGGATTTGTTGTGTTTCCCTCTGTAATAATAGTGATGATAGTAAGGTCTAGACCTTAGTTTGTAAAGTGTCCTGAGATGACTTTTGTTGTGATTTGGCGCTATACAAAGATAATTTGAATGTGAATTTAAATAGTCCTTAAACCTCGGTTTTAAAAAGTGTCTTTTGCTAGACAGCTGCATATAAGACTTACTAGGTAAACTGAAGCAGCATGTATAAACACTGTAGAAAATGTCTTATGAATCAAATAATTTTTAGTAAAACGTTGCTATCTTTTAGAAAAGACAGATTTTTAATGGAAACTACCTTATAGTTATTTTAGCAATATCTGATATAAAACTCGTATAAAAGGACATAGGAACTGTTTGATGTTAAAATCACCTTTGAAGGCTGGATGTAATATTTGTTAGTTTTTCCTCATTATGGAAATACAGCACAGCGTCACCCTAAAACTTTATTTTCTAATTAGTCGTTCTTTCAAACACTCCAGGGCCGTTGTGTACTGTAGGTCATAAAAGCGTCAGAATTCAAAGAGCAACATATTTTGGCGCTTATTCTTAGAATTAAGAGTTCATTAATTAGTGTTCAGACTTGAACTCGGCTCCAAAATGATTTAAGTGCGCTCCAGAGGTCTCCTGACACACAGTCAGTTAATGGTGAGTAGAGACAGATAAACTTCTCATAGTTTGGAATGTTTAAAAGTGTATGGAATATACAAGGTGTGTCCCCAAACCCACACTCATCTGTTCGTAACATAGCAATGTGGAAAATGTATAACATGAGCAGAGATACAGGGATCACATTTGCCAGGCAACCACTTACTGTATGTAAATAATTTTTTTAATTTGGTCTCTGTGGACTCTGCTTTAAAAAAAACAGAAGCAATTAAACATTTTGTTGCTTTGCATACAAACATTTAGTGGGATCACCACAGATGGTTCTCACTTATAATGCTTTCTGTCTTTTTTTAAAACTGATTAAACCTATTCCAATCTCAGTATAGTGAAAGTGTGGAAATAGGTGAGGGGATTTGCCCTTGCATGCTTCAGTAGCAAGCACATCATCTTTGGAGGCGTGCTATTGGCTGACTGGCTTCAGCGTGGGCATTTTGGGTAGTCATGGTAGTCCTTATTTGGAGTCACTTCACATTATACTCAGTTGTTTTAACTCCCTCATTAAATGAGAATATTTTGACTTGTGCAGTTTCAAATTGTGCAAATTAAGACCATGTTTTAGAGGTTTTTTCTGAAAAGTGTGTGTGTATCTGCTGGTAACCCCCCACCTGGGTTGGGAAACCTCTGAAGCTCTCATAATTTTGGAGTCGAGACCAACAACACTCCAACACTAAGGAGAAATTTTACATGGCACTTATTCTTACTTGTAAAATGAAAGCAAAATTGTTATTTTAGAACCTGATGCACTTTAAATAAAAATTTCCCTCTGAGTTTCCTCACATACACTAGAACTGCTTCACATTTATGTACCAGCTACATGTGTACTGATTGTATTTTTGGTGTGCTGCAGCACAAACACTGACTTTTGTCATGAGGATGACTGCGTGCTGGACCTCCAGAGGAGTCTGTACAGTTTGCCCTGGGTGTATCTTGATGTCAGCCTGCTCCCTGTGCTCTCACTGCACATCTCATGGGACAGAACTGCTAAGCACTGTGTCAGCTTCACAAGGCCTACCAACAAAGCCCCACCACTCAGCATGAGACAGGGCCACAGCAGTGCAAACAAAGCCTTCCTCAGAGTGTACTTCCTGCCTAAGATGACGTCCTTGGGGTAACTCATACGGTCTGTGAGGCACGATGAGGTTCTCCCCAGCCAGACGTCCAAGGTGTTTTTCACTTTCTGAACTTCGGCTTCAAGATCTGCTCTGTCCATGCGACACTTGGGCACGTAGAAACACTAGGAAAGAAAAGATACGATTGTGTAATTTGTATCAAGTGACCTGCTTGTTACAGTCGGCAGCGCTGATTGCAATCAGTGAAACAAGCTGGAAGGCTCTTTTTTTTCAGATTCAGTATTTTGCCTGTTAAAAAAAACAGAATAACCCTCCATGGTCACCATTTGCTGTACAGGTACTGATAAAAATAAAAAACATGTCATAGAGTCTCTTTGAATGGAGAAAAAGTGCAGCATTAGTGCATCATCTAATCATGTTTGCTGTCTTATTAACAAGGGTACAGGAATCAGAGTACTGCTAGTTTTTCAGCCTACAGTTCAGTACAGTGCCTTTGCTTAGATGGCTAATATGAAAACTAGGATAACTCCTGAGAGTAAAAATCAGAACTACTAAACATAATGCTCCTACATGTCAGCTGCAGTAGCACAGCCATAAAACTTTAATGCTCAAATCAGCTCCTCCAGAGCCCTGAGTATCCTGCAGGTGCTCCTCCCTGACAGTCAACAAGCAACACCTGGTATGAAGCAGATCCAAAACTGAGGCTCATGAAGCTGTAAGGTGAGACCTAAAAGCTGGATTTTAAGGCCATAAATTCCTACCTCAGAAGCGAGGAGAACTGATTCTTCATCAAAGTGCAGAAAAGCGCTTTGATTGGACCCTGTGAGGTTAACCGTCAGCCTGAGGCACGGCACGGTGGTCACCGATCTGCAGTCCACCCAGTCTGTCAGGATTTCGGTCTGTACCAGCACACAGCCGGCCTCCTTCTGCCAGTTACTGGAAAAGAAGTGCCAGGAAAGGTTCAGGGCTCCAACCCTCACACCCCCAGCACATGCCAACTCACACCTAAAAGACAATAATTGTTTCTCACTAGATCTCTGATGTGGGAAGTGTTTTTATTTTACCTTTTGTTAGTGCTAGTGGCATGCCTTTTTTGTTCTAAAATATCTCAACAACTACTGGATAACTTGCCATGAAATTTGTACAAGCATTCATTGTCCTCATGGGGAAGAAAACTACTGACCTTGGTGGCTTTTCCTCAAGTGTCACCAGCAGGTTCATATATTTGACCTTTAATGAAATCTCAACTATTGAATGGCTTGCTAAGAAATTTGTTTGATACAGCTATCCAGAGCTGACAGAAGATGGGGAACATGGGAAACATAAACCCTGCAAAACATCAGCGTGTTAACACTGTCACTATGAGAATGAACGTGAAACTTTGCTGTGTTAAATTATAGCCTCATAAAACCTTGAGCTCTGTTCATTTATGTTGTAGCCAGGGGCGGATTTAGAAAATTTTGGATGTGGTGGGCAGGCTGGGGCACTAACTCAGAGAGGTGGTGGCACATTTTAAATGCATGTACTGTAAAAGTAAATTAAATTCCTAGTTCTGAGATAATAAACTGTACATTATTAAGAATCAAATTGCTTATTTTGTGTAACAATGAGACACACACAGTGCTTTCTTTTGCTAACTTTAGTTGCGCTCCTTATTTAGCCCTGGCTGGGGACATTGCCACTGCACAGTGGTTCCCCTGCACTGAGGTGAATCATGCCAAGTACTCCACAACAACACAGTCAGAGAAATTAATGCAAATGTCATGCTGCATGCTTGATATAAAATACAACTAATTTGACCAATAGCAATTATAAAGTACCAGAAAAATGTTAGTTATATTTAAGTCAATTTGCCATTGTTTTTCATTTGCTAACAAGCATCACATTTTGGCAGGGTGGCACCAAGGGTGGCCAACTAGTTTCTGGGGGTGGCTAGTTCCAGTTGTCTGTTGGTGTTCAAGGAATTTTCACATGCAACTACTGAAATTCTTTGATTTTCTTTTGAGTCATAAATTAACCTAGTCCTCAAACAGCAAGTCGATCAACAAAAAATTATCCAGGAACCAAGTTTCGTAATCGACTAATTCGTTTGTCATTTATCAAGCTAAATGCAAAAAACATTTGCTGGTTAGATTTGGTCAAGCATGCAGATACGCTGCTTTTCTCTGTTTTATATCATTAATTGAATGTCTTTGCGTTTGGTCAGACAGCACTACTTTCTGACATTTCTGATGTAAAATTAATTAATCAGTTAATTAGAAAAATGTATTTGTAGAATAACTGATCGTGAAAATAATCATTGGCAGCGATTCAAAATTGACCAATGTTTCTTTAGAAGCATTGAAGAGTAATTGAACATATAATAAAATTTCATTCATAGTGTTGTCTATCATGTACAGCATCAACAGATGAACAGTGTACCTGTTAACGTACGGTTTGACCACAGTGATGCCAACCACAAAGAACATAAGCACAGAAAAGGCTATCATGATATAGCCCAGGAGGATGGCTCTGTCCTCCCCAATGCTCGACGCTGTCATCTGGGCCCGAGCTCGGTGGACCTCGTGCACATCCATGCCTCTGCTCCCCTCTTGCTCCTGTGCTGCTGCTGAGTGAAAGAGCTCCCTGTATCTCTCACACATACACACAAGGATCCAACTGTTTAATCTAACAGCAAGTCAGAGTGAATCCTCGAGCTGATGATCAACAAATTTTATGTTCCACTCATGAATTGAATTGGTCCATATGACTAATTTACAATTCTTTCAAACCAAGTTCTCCTTGGGGCAAAAAAAGTATCAGTACATTTTAATTAAATTTAGATGGTTAAATAAAAGGACATGTAAGCACTAGTTCAAAGTTTCAAATGAATGCAGTTCATGACTCTATGCAATATTCTTTTTTCCTTTTACTATGCAGAGAGATGGCTCATGAAAATGCAACCAGTCAAATTTAGTGCCTAAACTACATTTCTTGGCAAAACAAAAATGTCAGTCAGTAATGTTTCAATGACAAAATATACACTTTAGCAATTTAGTATAGTTCTTCAATGCAGTTTGTGAGACAAGCTTTAGGTAAAGCTCCATCAGACTGTAGATGCATTGCTAACACATGTCTGTGTGCATAATACAAACAAAACCAAAACCAGTGGTCTGTAGCACCACTGGTGGACAAAAACACTACACTGTCCCCTTAGTGAACCATAACAACGTCATTAGTGTTATGTTCTAGCAAAGCTTCTCCAACATTACTGTACAACAATGTTCACAATAGTTTAAAATAAATAAGTAAATGAAGTTCATGTGTAGAATCCTTTTTTTTAGGTCTATACATTTGGCTAATTTAACTTGGTTCTTCTTTACACTCCTAATGGGCACATACAGTATATAATCTATAATCATGCGTGCTCATACAGATAGGTGGCAAATGAAAAGAAAACCCAACATAAAGTGTCTGAGTGAGGTCTTGGATCACCACCTGCCACTGGGAGCTTTAGTGCACCTTGGTATTGACTCTCCAAGTCTCTGAACTCTACTCGAAGGATAAACACCATTCTTCCAAAAGATGTTCACTCATTTGGTGTTTTGACGGATGTGGGGACGCTGTTTAACGTCACTCCAACATCTCCCATGGGTGTTCAACTGGGTTGAGATGTGGTGACTGAAGGCCACAATATATGATTCACATCATCTTCATACTCATCAAACCATTCAATCACCCCTCCTGTCTTGTGGATGGGGGCACTGTCATCCTCATTCATCACTTATTCAAGTTTTTTCTTTAATTTGTCACTCGTATGCCCAAGAGTTAGAATTCTGAATGTGAAGCTTTATTCAATTTTTAGTTTTAACTTTTTAATGAACTACTAACTGTATTTTCAAAGCCTACTGCCCGGCTCAGTCGATCGTCCTCTCTTACCTTGCCTGTCGCCTGCGAGAACCATGCAGGTTGATGCTAATGGGGATGCTTACCGACCCCTTGGGAGAAGCTGTGTTCAAAGGCATGCCCACTCCTATCTCAGCCACCTCCCAGCCTCAGATTTGTATAGCCACCTAACAAGCTCCTTGCTATCTGAAAGTCAAATGTCCTTCTGTCAGCAGCTCACAGATCGTACTGTATTTCCAACAAGCTCCAGAGCAGTGTGGTGATGGACTGACTGGACTAGACTGCGGTTTATTCACCCGGGAGCTCCTGTTGTTTACCAAAGCTCAAAGGTGAATGCAACAACACCTTCCACTCTCGTGTGTGTTTCTATAGAAACGGCCACAGGTGAGGCAGGTACAGTAGGCTGCTAATGCCCTCTCAGTAGGCCTTTGAGGCTCAGCTGTAAGCTGAGTCATGGAAAAGCTGAATCCCTTTACTACTTTCCTTTAAGGCTTACACAAAATGAAGGCAGCGTGATGACACTGGCCAGAGTCAGACCATTTTCTATCATGTCTGTTTGGAAAAAAAGAGTAGCTGAAAAAGATATAAAGTGGCAACAATCTTTACACACATTTACTGGACACACACAAACACAGAAAAGATACTGACCCAAACACATGTTGGTGTGTTGAGCTGGAAACATCTGTGATTGTCCTGATGCTGTGTGATTTGAGTGCAAGAGGCTGAGTGAGTTTATATGTGTTATTCAAGCAGTCGAAAGACCTTGCATTATTCATGGATTGCTACAAAAACATATGGCGGTATTAACTTGGTGACAGTTCTGTTTAATATAAGCTCAAGGCAAGGAACACTAAGGCAACCTGGAAATGGAGCCAACCATTAAATATGATACAGACAGCGATGCCATACTTAATGTATTCAGTATTGAATACAATCAAATGTTATTTTGATTATTTGTCTTTATCACACACTCTGGTGTTAAAGCTCCATATTCTGTAAAATGTAATCATGATTTATCTGGCATATTTTATTACCTGTATGGCATTATGACTGTATGTGACTTATGGTATTTGTGAACAAGCAAACTTAATCTATGTTTTTTGTTAAAAAAAGCGGAAGTTATTCATACCTACATCCCACAAAAGAAGATACAGGCCTAGTACATTTCTTCAGAGGGTTGTGGGATAATCATGTGCTTTTGATGAAACTGAAGAAAACAAGATTAAAAATGTATAAAGCTGAGTGTACTTTACCTCACCTGGTAACTCGAGACATTGCCTTGACCATGAAGCGGTGCTGCTCTGTGGATGCGTCTCCAACTGAATTTCATCTTTAATATAAATGCTTAATGGAAAAGGACAGCTGCAGTTGTTCCAAACTGGACTGCACGCTCACAGATGCTGATTGGACATGCTCTCTCCTGTGTTTTGGGTCTCGTCCCTGCTGAGCCTCTTCTATAGGAGAAGTCTCTTTTTTCTATCTCTGAGAAGTTCTGAAATGGCTTTGTACCGTGGTGAGACAACTTATGCGGGCTAGCAGTTGTAATTGGACACACAGTGTCTCTTGTTATCTGATTTTGCCTCTGAACATTATTTCTGAACAACATGCGCAGGCAGAGGTCAGTGTATATAAGGCAGCAAGTCACTGAGCAGGATGGATAATCACCACAAGAGAAATTCAACTTTTCTTTCCATTGGACTGATATTTATGCTGAGCGGCATCGAGTACGGTAAGTTCATTAAGACAGCTTTACAGACTTGAAGACGTGAGATAATGGTCTCATTAGAGCAGAATGGAATAAAAATCTGCCTGGCATTTTGGTTGTGCTCGCACATCACAGAGGAGACAGCGTCCTATTTAATTCAAATATATTTTGCTGTCAGTAAACAAACTTACCATTTACACATCTCTCTCCTTTTCCTCCACATTCATTCTCTCTTATTTGTCTCTGGTGGTCTCAGCTGTCATTTTGCCTACAATATGGACGTATCTGCAGATTTTGGAAGCCCCTCCTTACTTCCTAGGTCTGGGTCTGTCTGCTTTCAGTCTGAGCGGGCTGCTCACTGGCCCACTGTTTGGGCTTTGGTCAGACAGGAGCCAAACTACAAAGTCCATCATTCTTTTCTCCAATCTTTTTGAGATTGCTGGTGAGTAATCAAATCACAAAATACATCACATGGCAGAGTTGGGTTTAGACCATATGTCAGCTGTCGTGGAAAACTCTAACTTTTATTAACTGGTTCATTACAGAAAACAGGAATTTCTATTCTATGATGGCTATAATGAGTCTGACGTGACAAAAACAAACAAAAAAAAAAATCAGATTTCAGCTCATTCCTTTCATCTCCATCTTTCTTTGTCTCCACAGTCTGTACAATGCATGATTGTAGTTACTTTCAGCTACTGTAAGATGCTTTGACTCCTAAATGATGACCATGAATTGTGGGCTTCTTGTTACAGTGAACTGTGGATTCATTTGAGCATGTTGACCAGACAACTGGACAAAACTACACAATATATTTCAGACAGATTATGGTTTTTACATCACAGCTAACAGCTGTGGAGAGGTGCAACTTAATTTCCTCATCTCTAAAATACAGAGCATTGCATTTTGGGATTGCTAGCATTAAGCAGTGTACCTGGATACAATTTTTGGTTTCACTAGAAATTTCTAAGAGCACTATATAGTGAGTACATTACACACTGCAACACTTCAGTAAAGTGATGGACGTTATGTAATACATTGTACACAGTAGTTAACAGGGAGTGGACACAGCCAGTCTACAGCCATGTTACCTACTTCAACTCCTAAAAACTAGCTAAAAGCTAATGTTAGCATGTTTACGTGCTCACAGTGGCAGTGCTAATGTGATAATGTGTAGTTTGTATAGTGTTTACACTTTGCACCATCTTAATTTAGCATGATACCATGCTAATACTTACTAATTAACACTTAAAACAAGGTACAGCTGATACCAATCATTAGTTTTACAGGTATAAATGAAGTTCAAATTGTAACAAGTCACTCAAGAGTCATAAATGTCAACTTGGCGGCACTAGAGGAAAATCCATCACCAAAGGATTCATTATCTGGGCACCAGAAACGTCTGTACCAAATTTCATGTGGCTAAAATTGGCTTGATGTTTATTTTTATTTGTCCTCAGGTAACTTCATGTATTTTATTGGATATTCAAAGTGGCTTTTGTTATGCAGTCGACTTGTAGCAGGTGACACACACACACACACACACAGGTATTGAAATAACACAATATGTTGTGAAGGTGTAAGAGAGGGATGCTGTTTTCCCCTCAGGTGTTGGTGTAGGAGCTGGCTCTGCCATTTTTAGCTTCCTGACTAGGAGCACCCGGCCACAGGAGCGTGCTGGGATCTTTGCTGCCATCATGGCCTGTCGACAAGCTGGCCTTCTTGTCGGTCAGTTCCTCTGCCTCATCTCACCACAGAGAGGTGTCATTTCACCTCTGCACCTCCTCTGCCTTCTGAAAAATATCCCTAGGAAAGATTTTATGATGTCTTCTTTGATGTTCAGTTTCAACTGTGAGGAGACATTCAATAAAATTCCTGAGTTTGGGGCCGCTGTCTCAACACATCCTCTGTTTTTATTCCATCTCCTCTTTTTGTTGCCTCCTGTCTCACCAGGGCCAGCGTTCAACTTGTTCCTGAGGCTGTGTGATTTCAAACTGGGGCCCTTTGTTGTGAACAAGTATACGTCTCCTGGGGTAACAGCGTCTAGATAATCAGTAATCTAAGGTTCTGCACAAGGCCCATGAATACAGAAACAATCTTCAGAAATAGTCGTTTCTGTATTCTGCACTCCTCCTGGCTCACAAGTATTTTCTTTTCTTCTTTGTTCTCCTCTGAATAAGAGGAATACAAAATACCTGCAGGCCTGTAACAACTGGTATCGATCTACTTCTTCCTCATGAGTCCACTCTGAAAAAACACCTGTAGCATAAATGTAGCCTAAATGAGATGTAACAAAGCTCCCATACGCCTACCTTCAGTTTTCCACATAATTTGACACTGCATGTCTCTCTTGATTTCACTGTGCCGGGTTAATTAAATTTTGAACACACGCCTCCATTTATAAGTTACTTTATCTTCCGTTCTGTGTGAGGACATTCTTGTATTTCTCCTCCATATCCTCAGATCTTCACCTGCCTGCTGTGGGTGCTGCTCCAGGTTGCTGTCCTGGCTATGTACCGGGATGTACCACCCATCAGCTCGGAGAGGGGAGCAGTGATGGTGGAGATGAAACAGGATGAAGATGATGATGATGACAATGACGATGAGGTGCCACTGAATGGGTCCAGTGAGGAGCTGGTGCACACCTACAGAGCCGCCAACCAGTCGGAGACCTCCACCTCATCTGAGATGAAGCCCGTCCATTGTGCCTCAGTGATCTCAGACCCCTTCAAAAACTTCAGTGCCAGTAGAGGTGAGCGAGCAGCTTGGGCTGCCTGTCTTGAGCAATGATTGTCAGCTTTCCTCTGCAGGGTTCAGGTAGGAAGAGGTGTCACCGCCAATGCTCATGTTCAGTATCTGCTCTATTGATTTTCTTGCACACACACACACACACACACACACACACATACAGAGCCATACTTACACTTTCCATTTGTCAGGTCTCTCTGAGGAATTCTGTGTGGCATGTCAGATCAGATTCCCTGTGTATCGACTGGGCTTGTGGGTATGTGTCTGGTTTATGTCAGAGTGTGTGTATATATATATGATGTCAGGTGTCTTATTGGATTAGTGTCATAGTAACTGTAAGTTTACATGGAATGCGAGTAGTGATTGTGTGCTGCTATTGATTAACTTTTTCAGTACTTAATCTCTCTCTATTTCTGTGTGTGTATGTCAAACCTTCCTATTGATTCTCTCACTCTGTGAAGATGTGGCAAATGGATGGGTAGTAGACTTCCTTTTGTATTGACCAGCTTGCTGTGGTTGACTTGTGGATGAAATGGAGACAGAATTGGTAAGGGCCAACATTTTTCTTATTGTTTCCTTTTTTGTTTTGAAGAAAACCTACAGCGCTAGAAACGCAGGAGCAAAGCTGGAGGATCTCTGCAGCTCTGGCACATATTGTAGGAGTGTCTCTTAGCCCTGACAGTGTGTCTGGTGTTCACACTTGTGAATTATTGATCTTCCCCAACTGTTTGTGAGGAGCCTCTGAAACTGAGGCAGATCTTATAGTTTCTTTCATCAAGTTTCTTATTTCTGGTTGTGGTTGTGGAGCAAAGAACAACACAAGTTAAACCTGTGTTAAAACTTTGCTTTCGGAACAGGAAAAATGTTATAGTATCTCTTATAGTTTTCTCAGTTGATGTTGACTTTATTGACATGATGTTGGAAAATAATACTGTTGCCAAATCATTCTGTCTGAACTGGGTTAGTAAGTATTTCAGTAACTATACATTCACATGGGTAACACTTTATTTTAAATCCTAAATTAATACGTTAATACGTTGTTTAGCTAAACAATTAGTACTGATTTAAATAAATATTTTAACATTTTGGAAAATATGTTTGTTTGCTTTGTTACCAAGAACTATATAAGACGATGTTTTCATGTGTGTACACTCAATATGAAGCTACAGCCACAAACTGATTAGCTTAGTGCAAAGTCTCAAAGTTAGGGGAAACAAAGTAGGCAGAATCGGACAATATATATAAATATATATATATTTATATATATTGTTGTTTTTAAGCTGACATGTGTCTCCGGGTCCCACAGACCCGAACAGAGCACAAGGGTTAAATAAGTGAGAGAGGGTGGTTGGTAGATTTTGTTAACCTTTGGATGGACCCAGGCCAGCGGTGTCCTCCTGTTTCTAGTCTTTATGCTAAGCTAAGTTAACTAGCTGTTGATTGTAGCTTCATATTTAGTCTGCAGGGTGGTACTGTATTTGTCTCCTCATGTAACTCTTGGCAAAAAATCAACAAACAAGTGTATTTTACTAAATGTCTCTAAAGACTGCTTGATAACACAGTGTATTATGATGTTTCTACAAAGATATGAACACAGTTTACATCCTGCTGCTGCGTGATTTGTGCATGTTATAATTAATTAATGCTTTATAACAAGCACACTGTTAGTGTTGTAAGCTGGTGTATCAGTATCATGTAATTATTTGTTGTTGTTCAAGCTTCAAGGGTCACTCTACCACTTTTGCACATGGAGATTAGTTAACCCATTGGGAGAAGTACTGCTGAGCTCTGCACTGCTTTGTCAAGTCTGAGAAAATGCCCCTGATAGTGCTGTTGTTATCTAGGTTTGAGCTTGGAAACTGCTCGGACAGAATACAGTGATTTAGGATGTAGACTCACTCCATGGACCAAAAATCAAGTTATCTCAGCAACTGCTGCATTGATTTTTAAAAAATGTATCCATTATGAAACCACTTGGGAGCCCCTTCAAACTCATAGCATAGGCTACAATTTAAAATCCATACTAAACCACATTTACCTTCAAAGAAACTACATGTGTAGTAATAGAAATGAAAATTAAATCATGCAAATAATTGTGCAAATTGAGAGAACTGAGTTGTAGTAGATCACACACTGTAATATCAAACCATTGCTCCAGCCATCTGGCATGTTCATCCAAATTTAGCAGCAAGCCCAGCTCATTTTTCCTTCCCTCCAAGCCCATAAGGGAGTTTTTGTTCCAGGAAAAGCTGGTGTCAAAATTTGGAATTTATTAAAATACATTTTTGTCATGTGTTTTGGACATAAAATAGCAGAGCTGACGCTTAAGCATGAAGAAGAAATGGACAGTTTATTGCACTAGAGAATTAACATGACCATCCAGACAGGATTCATCATGCTTGCCTCTTTCAAGCTCGAGATTACTTTCAGATAGTCCAAGTTTTCTTTTCTCTTCAAACTTTCTTTTATCTCACCCTAACTCGCGGTTGAAACTTTCAATTTAATGGCGCCACATCAGCTTGTTTTATGATTTTTCTCTTGGTTCCTCTGGTTTTTGGTATATCTCTCTTTTCAATATATTCGTCTTTCACTCTGCAGAGTTCCTGAGAGAGGAGGTGGTTGTTCTCCTCACGGCTCAGTTCATCACTCTCTTCAATCAGACAGCGCTGGAGGTGAGAGCAGCTACCGTTGAGATCCATCAGCCTGAATTTCCAAACATTTCACACATGTCACGTTATTTTACACAGGGCTTCATCCACACCATCTGAGCCTTACCTGTAAAGACCTGCGTTGTTGCTCTGAGAAAATAACCAATTTCTTAACTTTCAAAGTAAAACTTATATAATGAGTGTCCATAATCACGAAATGAGGCCTCCCCTCTTCTCATTAAGATGTGGTGACTCAGTAGTCACACAGTATGGACCTGGATTATATAATCATTTTCATATCAAAACAGAACACTTCTTTTGATGTGGATTGACTGAAGACTTTGAAGGACTAGGGCTCATTTAAGCACTAATAAGAATCTCCTCCTCTACTTCTTACTCAATCACTTTGCCTAACTGAGTGACCTTGTTCACATCTCTCCAAAAATCCACAGACCATGGTGACTCCTCTGACGCAGCGCTACTTCAGCTTTGGTGAGCTGGGCAACAGCGTGATGTACGGCCTGTGTGGGATAGAGGTCATCCTGGGCTTCTTCTTTGTACGCTGGCTGAGCAAAAAGGTGGCGGACCGTGCCGTGCTGGCTGTGGGCCTGGTCATCTGCTGCGCCGCCTGTGTCTGGTGCCTCATCTTTCTCTGCAACCCCCAAGGTGCTAACCTGTCCAGGAAAACATACAAACACAGCCGGGCTCACATGCAGAGGCACACGCAGACTTAAAAATGCCTCATTTGCTGTGCCAGATCTGTTCGGTGCAGAGCGCAGTATGGCCATACTGGGTTACACCCAGGCTGAGGTAGATGTGCTCTGTAAATGATATCACTAAGGCTGGAAAGGGGCAACAGGAGATCATGCAGGCAGGCTGGATCCTGTATGTTCACGTTGGCCTGCGACTGTTGCAGCTCGTTACGTCTGATTATAAGTGACAGGTGCTGGAGCCGGAGAGCGCCTGAGTACATGTAAAAAGGATTACAGTAATCCAATTAGAATAAAATGCGGTTTGTTAAAGCATAATCTATATTTGTTTGCTATTTGTTACAGTTGCAGTTCAAACAAACAAACAAAGAAATAAAACATAAAAGATATTTTATATATTTATTTATTTTTGGCCTGCTAAGAGACATGTTTGATGTGTGAAAATGCATTTTGATTATAAGATTACCGACTTTCTGCTTATGCAGGAACATCCAACAGTATGAGTGGGCGCACAGTCACACAAACATGTGCAAGATGCAAAGCAACAGAGAACAAAAATGTGGTGGCTGCCAGTTTGGCAGTGGTTTCGTTTTCAGATAGAGCTATCGTGGTGCCAGCGATGTCGAAGATGCAAAGCAGCAGATAACAAAAAGGTGGTGGCTGCCAGTTTGGCAGTGGTTTCGTTTTCAGATAGAGCTATCGCTAGTGGTGCCAGCCCATTTGTGGAAGGAACTTAAAAACTGAGAGGAAGAGGGGCTGGGTAACCAAAGTATGACCTGTCACATAGTTTGAGTTATTATCACCACATATCAGAAATAAATAGCAGCAAAATATTGTAATAGCTAAGAGAGCTGCCTAATTATGAATTGTAGATACTGTATCTGTGAATTTGTGTTAGATTATAGCTTGTAAATGTAATTGCTCATAGTCCATGACATAGTCCATATAATTTTGGGGTCAGCTATTCAGTAATTCAGTTATACTGTGGTATTATCTTTCCATCTGCACCAGGTGGTTATGGATGGGAGCTGACGGCCTTCATCATTGGAGTGTTTCTGCAGCTGCTGGGGCTTCCCTTCGTGGCCGTGTCTCAGGTGTCTCTCTTCTCCAAAGTCACCGCTGAGAAAACACAAGGTTGGCTCATTTTACCTTGGCCTAGTTCGCAGTTAAAACAGCATATGCTATGCAGATAAAGACTTACTCATACTCTTCTTTTGAGTCATGTTGAAACAAATCACCATTAATCCTCTGTGATGTGTCATCTAAAGGATATAGCCAAGGTGTGAGACGCTCAGTTGGGGACCTGGCCACCATCTTGGGTCCATTGTGGGCTGGGGGACTGACCAATAATCTGTACATAATGCTTGGCATGATGCTGGCTCTCCTCATAATGATCACAGTAAGTAGAGCAAGGCACCAAATAGCAGCAAACAGATAGAAAATTAGTAATGTGATGAGTTATCAGTTTGATACTTTGGGAAATTTGCTTACTGCCAGCAGCCTGTTGGTTTAACTTTGCATAAAGAGTTGAAAAAGAGAAACAACTAGCCTGGCTATAAAAGTTCTTACACTTTCGAAGTGTAGAGACAATAGTTAGATGATTTGATTAATGCCATTTTCATGACTATATGGTAAAGCTACAGCTCAGCAGCTTGTTATCTTAGTTTTAAAAAAGAGCGGAAACAGGGTAAACACCTCACCCTGTTAAGGAAACTCCTACAACAAACGCAATATCCACAAGCAAGTGTCTGAGGTTCAGAGATGCTGTATGCAGGTTTTGTCACCTTTGGACGGAGCCAATGGATGGAGCCATGCTCAGCTAAGCTAGCTTCATATTTATCACACAGACGTGAGATCAAGCTTCTCGTCTACCTCTTATATTTGCCAACACATGGAATTATAATTTTGAGACTGTCACAGAGCTGGAACTGACATAACACACTATCCTAGAATATAACTTATACATTTCTACCCTATATACATACCTTCTCTTTAATAAATTATTCAGTGCTGTGGTTTAAGAAAATTTACTTCAGCATGCAGACTAAGAAACAGTAGCTGCACGGTGTAGTCACCAGGAGAAGCTTGCTTATGTTACTTTGTGCTCTCTATTTTCTTAAACCAACTCGCGCTGTACCTTCTTCAGGTTATGACGGTGCTGTCCTATGACCGCCTGATGGAGCCCAGGGCAGTGCAGTGTGCCCAGAGCTCTGACAGTGGAGGATAGAGCTGCAGTGTATGTGAAAAGCAGGAGAGGCTAAACTCAGACAGAGGGAATGCCCTTCACTGCTGAGAGAATCGATACCAGCTTGCTGCAGAGGAAAGTGTATGAGTGCGGAATAAAAATGTTCAGATAACCTACTGAACCTCAGAAGCTGCCACAGAGGCGATCATACCTCACAGCTAAAATACTGTTTGTTTTAAGCTTTGCACAATCACATCTATCTGCAGATGTGATTAGGCTCTACCTTGCATGTGCATCACTATTAATTACCTTCTACACAAGGGGGCACCATTACTCTCATATTGAATATTCAGAGGTGTAATTGAAGATGAAAGCCAGTATTTTTAAACTGGACTATTTATATGCCCAGGTGTTGATGAAAAGATAAAGGGCTGGTTTTTCCGTGTGACCCATGTTCCAAATGTTCCTTTCTTGTCCCGAGTCTTTCTTCCTCTAAAAAACAAACCTCTCTCTGAAAATGAAACAGTTGACACAATGAGTGCAGAAGTGGAGTTGTCAGCATCTTGGCAGCATGGTGTCAGTGTAGCTGACAGAGAGAGAGGGTCAAAGAAAGTGAAGCCTTTCAGATGTCTTGGTGTTTATTTGTAGTGATGGAGGAGAACTGTGCAGTTTTATTGGTAAAATAAAGCAGAGAGCTTGGACTAAACCAGTTTGATGTCATGTGAATCTATTCCTCTGTGTCCTCCTCTATCCTTTATGTGCAAGCGAGAAGCTCCAGAATTAAAACCAAACCAAAAACTTGTTAATTAGCCCTCTGCCTTTTCACTACGGGGGATTTAAAGTTTAATTACCTGTATTCATAATTCAAAACCTGAGAAAGTAAAACTCGTGTATAGTCAGCTTTTCTTGCCTATATTCTCCTCTAGGATGTGCTGTATGCTACACATCTGCCTCTGAGAGCAGACTGCTGTAAGCAACATCAAGGCATTGTAGATTTCCTTTGTACCAGCGAACATGGGTTTGGCCAGTCTCTGTATTTTTTTTTTGCATAATTACAGATAAGGCTCAGTAACCTTTCCAGTTTTCTACACTCAGCATGCGATATTTGGCTTTCCACAGGCTGTTTGCCTGAAATGGAAATTCCGGGACTCAAGGACATAATATACTATATAAGTACTTTGCTGCCCTGATCAGCGTATTCAGGTGCCTGGCATTTTAAGGGAGATAACGAGGTGCATGGAATCAGGTCAAGCCTGAATTTACTTTACTTTGAGCTACTTTGCTTTTTTCAGCCCGATTCCTTGTGCTTTTAAAGAAATTCTTATACAATGTAAATTACAAGCAATTTTAAAGCCCTTGAAATCTCGCATTTAATTCTCCTCTTCTATGACATTAAATTTGCACTAAGCATTAAGTAACAAAAAGCTACATTTTGAGTGTGTAATAGTTATTTATCACAGCTTGACTATGTGACTCATGAAAAGATAATAACAAATTCTTCCTCTAAGAAATAAAAAAAAGTCATGGGCAATAAAACGTACCCTTGCTCAGTTCGGCAGACTCGATGAGTTTTGTTGCTACAGCCGTTCTTGATGAGCATGACCACTGGCTTATGGTAGCTGATGCTGGCTGGCTTTATTTAGCCAATCTTGACAGATATTGCTTTTGTGTGACTGACATGACAGAATTTTGGGAGATTTTTTTGAATTTTTTTTTTTTTATCTCAGCTACACACTTTTACTACCATTACACAACATTTAAACATGTAACAGATACACATTACATTTTTGTTTGCCTTTTATTGAACATAATGCAAAGATGAAGACAGGAAATAGGGGTAAAGAGAAAGAGGGTATGATGTGCAATAAATTTCCCAGACCAGAACTGAACCAAGGACATTGCAGTTATGTGGCATGCTTGCACTGCAGGCTAACTATTCAGCTGGCAGGGTGCTCGTGGGCTGCTACAGGAATAAAACTGTATGTACACCACACAAGGAATTGGACTGGTACAGTGGTTTTCAATGTGCTTCCATAAGACAACAACAACAACAACAAACTGCAATAAGTAGGAAAAAAGACCATAACTATTAATAACTATCTATACAGCACATACACTGACCAGCCACTTTATTAGGTACACCTGTACAAGTTGTATACACTTCAATGCAGCATGCATCTCCCCTAGGATAGTCAGAGTTAAAGGAAAGTTAGAGGCCTTAGACTTTTTACTCTTTGTTAAATACACAAAAGGTAGGCACAGACACACGTTATGAAACTTTACAGATACACAGAACAAGCATTTGGTGCAGGAGCCAACAATTATTTCAGTGAACCATAGACGAGAGTTTGTTGCTATGGAGATGGCGTTTTGTGAGCAGGGAAAGTAAGAAGCCAAAGATAATGTTATGCAACTGGAGAGTGGAAACCCTGGTTGCTCTGGTGGAGCTGGTTGTGGAACGAATGAAGGTGGAGGTGGAGCTTTAGTGGAAGCAGCTGCTTGATGTACTATTGTGCGACTCTAAACGGCTCCGTCTGCTTTCTGTATACTGACTGTTTTCATCTCATGTCGAGGAAGAATAACTTGGCTGCGTGAAGTTATTTTAGCAGTTCGTTTGGGTGTAAAAATATCTCGGTGTCTGTAACCATTATTCAGTGTTTTTTGTGTTGCTGCTGTGCAGTGAACTGAACTGTGAACAGTGAAGCAACTACAGATTAATCTGCTATATCCCAGTCTCACCCTTGATTGTTGTGAGGTACTGATTACATGAAGCCTCAGTGGTTTCTCTCTCTGCATGTCATTACCCTGAGGCAACACGATGTCTCCTGGACCCTCACACCCTGCCATTTGCTTTTTATGGTCTAAAAGGTTGAAAGGAACCTGATGGAGTTACAGTTTGTTTCTCTAACACATAAAGCCTACACATTCTTGATCCTCATATATTTAGGTTTGTCTTTAATGAGGAATGATTCAGGGTGTGTTAGAGTGGCAGGAAAAACTATCGGTCACATAAATATACTGGATTCCTTCTGCCCAGGCCAGTGAGCAGAAGAAAGCTGTGCCAATTTCTGTTTCACAACCAAAAGGAACTGCACAGTAAACAGCATGAGACAATATGCATGTGGTGATACAACTTTTAGCTTGTTTTCCCCCAACTGTTCTGCATGCAGTGCTGAATTATTACCAAGGGGAAACTCACCAGTGACTCTTTTTTTTCATTGACCAGCTCTGATGGCAAATTTGATGCTGTCATCTAACAAAGATAAAGGTAATCGGTCACAAAGAGGAAAACGGCATTTGACTGGAGCCAATGTATAACAATTATATTGGCGGCAGCAAGGGGGACAAGGAGTGGCTCTGCTCTTCCTGATGGTATTAGCTGGACTGAGGATGGTTGTTAATGGGTCGTAGATGATAGATGAGTTATTATCTAGTGAAAAATGTGCAGGGTTTGAAATCAGGCCAGCTATATTCATTCTGTGATTTACTTTCCCCCTCTGCTACCTTCTATATTTTGTGCAGAAAGATTTGTCATAACAGATCATTTATTATGAAATTTAATTTTATCTGAATATATTTATTCTGGATGCAATTTTGTTTTTGTGGAAGAGGCTATTTATTTAAAAAATCTTTTAAATAGATGTCAGCTGTTGGTCTCCTGCCAGCTTGATCAAAGATTTACAGTTTTGCTGTCGTTATTGCTGACTTGAGAATCTGACTTGTGGATGTCTTTGCCAGTCTTGTGTCCAATAATGTGTGTGTGTGTGTGTATAGAAAAGATACAGAGAAACTGCTTGTCTCTCTCTCACACACACAGGGAATAAAATTTGCAACCAATTATGAGAAAGTTTTTTTTTTTAATATCTAATTCACAGTATTATGTGTGTGAGCAGGCACAATTTGATGAAAGCTTGAATCTACACCTTATAGCAATATCGAGATGGGCGACTAATGAGCTGACAGGGGAGCGAGAAAAGAGAAGAGGGGAGAGGGGACAGTGTGTGCCCACTGCTCGGTATCGATGAATACAAATCACAATTTTTCATGCTTCCTCCTTTCTCATAAGCAGCTTTAGATTCAAAAAGAAGACTCGCTGGCGGGAGGCAAATGATTTGATTTATTACATGTGACGCTGGCATTCAGTGGTTTGCACATGTGGAAAGGGTACACTCAGGTAGCCTCCCTCTGCATTGTTTTTTGTTTTTAATTGTTACTATGTGTTTGTATTTTGTGCAGCCGGCATCACCTGAGACACGTTGAATCAATTGCCTTCACCCATGCCAGCCATCCACCATCATATGTGAGCTTTGGTGAAATGAATGCCTTTGGGACATAAATGAACACTTAGTTTAAAGCAACCTTGCTCATTGATTGGAGCCTATTGTACTGTAATAGCGATGGAAATATATTCAGATAATTATCAGGCTCGATTAAGTATGTGGCTTGCTCATGAACCTGGTGCTGCTTTGTGAAGAGAGAGAGAGGGGTTTTTTTTTCAGTAGCCGCCCCAGAGAGCCTCAGAGCTGACAGTAAATTTGCTCATCAACCAGTTTCGTTCCAGTGTGAGGTACAAATTATCCAATATTTCATGGTCTGGCCCTTTGAAGGTGGTGTTACTCAGGAGAGCTCAATGTGCTGCAGAGGTAAAATGAAATACTGTTTGAAGTAACACCTTTATTCCACGTGTAGATGCAAACCTGTCAAACCTGTTGCATGAAGGAATTGTGAGACATAAGAAACTCTCCTTATTCACCGTCATATAAGACTTAATGCGGCAAACAAGTCAAGTAAACAATCCTCGCGTTTCGTTCCACCCTCCTTTATCCTCCTGTGGCGGTAAAAAAGCCTGGTCATGCTTGTTGTCTGACAGCGTTAAGGTCAAGGTTTGTCTGCGCATGGACCTGTGGGATCTCATTGATCTCATTAACAATGTGTGTGGAGAATATTACAAAATGATGAGAACTTCATAGGAGGTCAGCTGAGGATCAATATTAAATCCTATCTCATTTATAATCCTGCTGAGCGGAGAGGCTCTGCGGGGC